TTTTTTTTTTTTTTTTTTTTTAGCAGAAATGGCCCAAGGGCTTATAGCGTTCTTTCCATGGGCCTGGCTAGGAAGGTATGGAACCTGTGAGACAAGAAATGTGGGAACTGAGCTAGGTATGGCTGATCAGCTTAATGGGATTAACTTCCCACTGTGCTGGATATGTCCAGTTCTGAGTCTGTGACAGTATCAATCTGTAGCATGACAGATGCTGCACAAGTCAAATGGTCAAAATTTGGGCCCGGTCCATCTCCAGTGATGAGAGTGGCTCAGTTTCTCCTGCCCTTCATTTTTCACTCCTGGAGAATGCTAGAGAGAATGGCTGCACTGTTTGATCCTACCTCTTCTTTTCTCTCTGCAGCAATCCCCCTGAAAGGAAACAGATCTGAAAAGAAGTAGCAAGCCATAAAAGGGGGAAAATGACAATAAGAAAGGGAGGGAGGAAAGCAGAAGAAAGAAACAGGGCAGAGAAAAGGTGAGAAGAGAGATCAAAGGTGACATTAAAAAAATAATAGCACTTCTGTAATTCCCTTTCATCAAGGTATCTCATAACATTTTACAGAGAGAGAAGGAAGGAGACAGACCAAAAGGGAAGGGACAAGCAAAGAAAAAAAGATGGACAGAAAATAGGATCATACTGAGACACAAGGGGACTTTTCACTTTACTGGACTATGTATGTCTTCAATTCTATATACATCTAAATGTAGTTCTGTACATATCTAAATCCCTGGGTTTCTGGCCTTTTATCAAGAAACAAGCTTTACTGTGCATGGCCCCAAAATATTTAGAAAATTTGGGGTCATCACTGCTGAAGGAACAGAAGAAAAACAACCCCAGAAAGGAATCTGTCAGCAGTGTTAACTCCTCCAAGAGCGTGCCACAAAAATGCATGTTTAATGTGCTGGAATAAAACCAATTGTTCCATAAAAAACCTGCTTCCATATAAACACTAAAGGGAGATTGCAACAGAGGGGACAAGCAAATAATTAAAAAGAACTGAACGCCTCCATTACAAGAGTGATTTCAATTTGGTTCCTGATTTCTGCAAGCTGGTTCAAGCTGAGGAATCCTGCACCCAACTGGAGCCCTACTGAGGGCAGTGTGGGCCCAAGAGTCTGCTCTTCCAGAACAATTTGCAAAATCTAGGTCCAAACAGGACCGTCCCCTAGCAACTGGGCAAGGCTGACCATGAAAGGAGAAGAAGTGCAGATGACCAACACCAGATCCAACTGCTGCTTAAGAGCCTCAGAAATAATACTTAGAAAGAACTCATAGGCTGGACTTAGCCTTGTGCCAATCTCGGAACACAGGTGCATTTCACCTATCAAAAAGAAGTTAAACTATGCAGAATTTAGTTTCATAGTTTCTAGGGTCGGAAGGGACCTGAGTAGGTCATCTAGTCCGACCCCGTGCCATGGCAGGAAAGAGCACTGGGGCCAAACGACCCCAGCAAGGTGTACATCTAACCTCCTCTTAAAGACCCTCAGGGTAGGAGCCAGCACCACTTCCCTTGGAAGTTGGTTCCAGATCCTAGCCGTCCTGGCCGTGAAGTAGCGCCTCCTGATGTCTAGCCTGAATCTACCCTCTGTCAGCTTCTGACCGTTATTCCTGGTCACTCCTGGCAGTGCTCGGGGGAACAGGGACTCCCCCAGTGCCTGCAGGTCCCCTCTGACTAGTTTGTAACAGGCACAAGATCCCCCCTCAGCCTTCTCCTGTGGAGGCTGAACAGGTTCAGGTCCCATAGCCTGTCCTCATAGGGCCTGCCCTGCTGCCCCCTGATCATGTGAGTGGCCTCCTCTGGACCCTCTCCATGCTGTCCACATCCCTCTTGAAGTGCGGCGCCCAGAACTGGACGCAGTACTCCAGCTGCGGCCTGACCAGTGCCGCATAGAGGGGGAGGATCACCTCCTTGGATCTGCTTGAGATGCATCTGTGGATGCAAGATAAGGTGCGGTTGGCCTTCCTGACTGCATCCCCACACTGCCAGCCCATGTTCATCTTGGCATCAGTGATGACTCCAAGATCCTTTTCTGCCTCTGTACTGACGAGAAGGGAGTTCCCCAGCCTGTAGGTATGGAGCCGGTTGTTCCTCCCCAGGTGCAGCACCTTGCACTTGTCGGTGTTGAATCCCATTCTAGTCTCATCCGCCCACCCCTGTAACCTGTCTAGGTC